GCTCGGCCACGCTACCTGTGGTTGTATTAATGTCCTTAATACGTGATTAAATCTGTATCAACTAGGCTAGCAAAAAATAACCATTTATGGCAGCGGTGGGATTCGAACCCACGCCTCCGAAGAGACTGGTGCCTTAAACCAGCGCCTTAGACCGCTCGGCCACGCTACCTACGGTTGTTTGATGTCCTTAATACGTGATTAAATCTGTATCAACTAGGCTAGCAAAAATAACCATTTATGGCAGCGGTGGGATTCGAACCCACGCCTCCGAAGAGACTGGTGCCTAAAACCAGCGCCTTAGACCGCTCGGCCACACTACCTCGCATTTAATACATATTCTTAATATTTGATTATCTCTGTATCAACAAGGCTAGTATAACATAATAAGATATGGCAGCGGTGGGATTCGAACCCACGCCTCCGAAGAGACTGGTACCTGAAACCAGCGCCTTAGACCGCTCGGCCACGCTACCTACGGTTGTGTTAATGTCCTTAATACGTGATTAAATCTGTATCAACTAGGCTAGCACAAAATAACCATTTATGGCAGCGGTGGGATTCGAACCCACGCCTCCGAAGAGACTGGTGCCTAAAACCAGCGCCTTAGACCGCTCGGCCACACTACCTCGCATTTAATACATATTCTTAATATTTGATTATCTCTGTATCAACAAGGCTAGTATAACATAATAAGATATGGCAGCGGTGGGATTCGAACCCACGCCTCCGAAGAGACTGGTGCCTAAAACCAGCGCCTTAGACCGCTCGGCCACGCTACCTATGGTTGTATTAATGTCCTTAATACGTGATTAAATCTGTATCAACTAGGCTAGCAAAAAATAACCATTTATGGCAGCGGTGGGATTCGAACCCACGCCTCCGAAGAGACTGGTGCCTTAAACCAGCGCCTTAGACCGCTCGGCCACGCTACCTACGGTTGTTTTAATGTCCTTAATACGTGATTAAATCTGTATCAACTAGGCTAGCACAAAATAACCAATTATGGCAGCGGTGGGATTCGAACCCACGCCTCCGAAGAGACTGGTGCCTAAAACCAGCGCCTTAGACCGCTCGGCCACACTACCTCGCATTTAATACATATTCTTAATATTTGATTATCTCTGTATCAACAAGGCTAGTATAACATAATAAGATATGGCAGCGGTGGGATTCGAACCCACGCCTCCGAAGAGACTGGTGCCTAAAACCAGCGCCTTAGACCGCTCGGCCACGCTACCTACGGTTGTTTCAATGTCTTTAATACGTGATTAAATCTGTAACAACTAGGCTAGCATAAAATAACCATTTATGGCAGCGGTGGGATTCGAACCCACGCCTCCAAAGAGACTGGTACCTGAAACCAGCGCCTTAGACCGCTCGGCCACGCTACCTATGGTTGAATCAATGTCATTAATACGTGTTTAAATCTGTATCAACTAGGACAGCATAAAATAACCATTTATGGCAGCGGTGGGATTCGAACCCACGCCTCCGAAGAGACTGGTGCCTTAAACCAGCGCCTTAGACCGCTCGGCCACGCTACCTACGGTTGTTTGAATGTCCTTAATACGTGATTAAATCTGTATCAATTAGGCTAGCATAAAATAACCACTTATGGCAGCGGTGGGATTCGAACCCACGCCTCCGAAGAGACTGGTGCCTAAAACCAGCGCCTTAGACCGCTCGGCCACACTACCTCGCATTTAACACATATTCTTAATATTTGATTATCTCTGTATCAACAAGGCTAGTATAACATAATAAGATATGGCAGCGGTGGGATTCGAACCCACGCCTCCGAAGAGACTGGTGCCTAAAACCAGCGCCTTAGACCGCTCGGCCACGCTACCTGTGGTTGTATTAATGTCCTTAATACGTGATTAAATCTGTATCAACTAGGCTAGCAAAAAATAACCATTTATGGCAGCGGTGGGATTCGAACCCACGCCTCCGAAGAGACTGGTGCCTTAAACCAGCGCCTTAGACCGCTCGGCCACGCTACCTACGGTTGTTTTAATGTCCTTAATACGTGATTAAATCTGTATCAACTAGGCTAGCAAAAATAACCATTTATGGCAGCGGTGGGATTCGAACCCACGCCTCCGAAGAGACTGGTGCCTAAAACCAGCGCCTTAGACCGCTCGGCCACACTACCTCGCATTTAATACATATTCTTAATATTTGATTATCTCTGTATCAACAAGGCTAGTATAACATAATAAGATATGGCAGCGGTGGGATTCGAACCCACGCCTCCGAAGAGACTGGTACCTGAAACCAGCGCCTTAGACCGCTCGGCCACGCTACCTACGGTTGTTAATGTCCTTAATACGTGATTAAATCTGTATCAACTAGGCTAGCAAAAAATAACCATTTATGGCAGCGGTGGGATTCGAACCCACGCCTCCGAAGAGACTGGTGCCTAAAACCAGCGCCTTAGACCGCTCGGCCACACTACCTCGCATTTAATACATATTCTTAATATTTGATTATCTCTGTATCAACAAGGCTAGTATAACATAATAAGATATGGCAGCGGTGGGATTCGAACCCACGCCTCCGAAGAGACTGGTGCCTAAAACCAGCGCCTTAGACCGCTCGGCCACACTACCTCGCATTTAATACATATTCTTAATATTTGATTATCTTTGTGTCAACAAGGCTAGTATAACATAATAAGATATGGCAGCGGTGGGATTCGAACCCACGCCTCCGAAGAGACTGGTGCCTAAAACCAGCGCCTTAGACCGCTCGGCCACGCTACCTACGGTTGTATTAATGTCCTTAATACGTTTTTAAATCTGTATCAACTAGGCTAGCATAAAATAGCCATTTATGGCAGCGGTGGGATTCGAACCCACGCCTCCGAAGAGACTGGTGCCTTAAACCAGCGCCTTAGACCGCTCGGCCACGCTACCTACGGTTGTTTGAATGTCCTTAATACGTGATTAAATCTGTATCAACTAGGCTAGCATAAAATAACCATTTATGGCAGCGGTGGGATTCGAACCCACGCCTCCGAAGAGACTGGTGCCTTAAACCAGCGCCTTAGACCGCTCGGCCACGCTACCTACGGTTGTTTGAATGTCCTTAATACGTGTTTAAATCTGTATCAACTAGGCTAGCATAAAATAACCATTTATGGCAGCGGTGGGATTCGAACCCACGCCTCCGAAGAGACTGGTGCCTTAAACCAGCGCCTTAGACCGCTCGGCCACGCTACCTACGGTTGTTTGAATGTCCTTAATACGTGATTAATTCTGTATCAATTAGGCTAGCATAAAATAACCATTTATGGCAGCGGTGGGATTCGAACCCACGCCTCCGAAGAGACTGGTGCCTTAAACCAGCGCCTTAGACCGCTCGGCCACGCTACCTACGGTTGTTTCAATATCTTTAATACGTGATTAAATCTGTAACAACTAGGCTAGCATAAAATAACCATTTATGGCAGCGGTGGGATTCGAACCCACGCCTCCGAAGAGACTGGTGCCTGAAACCAGCGCCTTAGACCGCTCGGCCACGCTACCTATGGTTGAATCAATGTCCTTAATACGTGATTAAATCTGTATCAACTAGGCTAGCATAAAATAACCATTTATGGCAGCGGTGGGATTCGAACCCACGCCTCCGAAGAGACTGGTACCTAAAACCAGCGCCTTAGACCGCTCGGCCACACTACCTCGCATTTAATACATATTCTTAATATTTGATTATCTCTGTATCAACAAGGCTAGTATAACATAATAAGATATGGCAGCGGTGGGATTCGAACCCACGCCTCCGAAGAGACTGGTGCCTAAAACCAGCGCCTTAGACCGCTCGGCCACGCTACCTACGGTTGTATAATGTCCTTAATACGTGATTAAATCTGTATCAACTAGGCTAGCATAAAATAACCATTTATGGCAGCGGTGGGATTCGAACCCACGCCTCCGAAGAGACTGGTGCCTTAAACCAGCGCCTTAGACCGCTCGGCCACGCTACCTACGGTTGTTTGAATGTCCTTAATACGTGATTAATTCTGTATCAATTAGGCTAGCATAAAATAAACATTTATGGCAGCGGTGGGATTCGAACCCACGCCTCCGAAGAGACTGGTGCCTTAAACCAGCGCCTTAGACCGCTCGGCCACGCTACCTCCGGTTGTTTGAATGTCCTTAATACGTGATTAATTCTGTATCAACTAGGCTAGCATAAATAACCATTTATGGCAGCGGTGGGATTCGAACCCACGCCTCCGAAGAGACTGGTGCCTTAAACCAGCGCCTTAGACCGCTCGGCCACGCTACCTACGGTTGTTTCAATGTTTTAATACGTGATTAATCTGTATCAACTAGGCTAGCATAAAATAACCATTTATGGCAGCGGTGGGATTCGAACCCACGCCTCCGAAGAGACTGGTGCCTGAAACCAGCGCCTTAGACCGCTCGGCCACGCTACCTACGGTTGTATCAATGTCCTTAATACGTGATTAAATCTGTATCAACTAGGCTAGCATAAAATAACCATTTATGGCAGCGGTGGGATTCGAACCCACGCCTCCGAAGAGACTGGTGCCTGAAACCAGCGCCTTAGACCGCTCGGCCACGCTACCTACGGTTGTTTGAATGTCCTTAATACGTGATTAATTCTGTATCAATTAGGCTAGCATAAAATAACCATTTATGGCAGCGGTGGGATTCGAACCCACGCCTCCGAAGAGACTGGTGCCTAAAACCAGCGCCTTAGACCGCTCGGCCACACTACCTCGCATTTAATACATATTCTTAATATTTGATTATCTCTGTATCAACAAGGCTAGTATAACATAGGCTAGCATAAAATAACCATTATGGCAGCGGTGGGATTCGAACCCACGCCTCCAA